AAAAAAAAAAAAAAAAAAATCTCCATCGTGCTGAAATCGGAAAATCTCATACATACTAAATACAATTATACACAAACTTGCTTCTAGTTGCAAATTCTAACAGAACTCCAAGTTTCATCATCACAAACAGAACTCCACAAGTATTTCTATTTCCTCCAAAACTCATTTCAGAATACCCCAAACATTTAAAACACACAGTGACATGAGGATCACCAAGCAATACGCAGCAATCACCATGTACAGAAAGAGCCCAACACCGTCCATTAAGATACAAAAAGAAACAACTAACACAAAAAATCTCAAAAAAAAAAAAAAACAAACGCAAACACACACACACACACACACACAAACATATGCACACAGTTGATTTGCGACAAGTTTCACCTTCCGCCGTCGAAATCACAACACACGAAGCTCGGGTCGGATATCCACAGCACATCAACCCCAGTCCGCATCTCACCACTGCAAAATCCGATAATTTTCTCCTTCAAATCGCGAAAAGTAAAGGACAAATTACGCAAAATTCCGATGATCAAACAACGAAACCACAAAAGCTTCCGCAAATTTCTGCGCCATTTTTAAACACTTTCTCCTTACTCTTTTCCTCGATTTTTTTTTTTTTTTTTTTTTAAAGAAAACCCTTTCCCCTCACAGTCTGCGCATCTAAAGATGGAGCACAAAATTTCAAAAGGAAGAACTGAAAATCAGGGAAATTGGAATTGAGAGACCGCGTGAAAGAAAAGATTAGGCCATTTGGTAGTTAAAAGTAATAAGTAGTTCTCAATAGTCGAATGAATGTGTGGTTTATTGGGCTCTGGGGGGAATTGATAGTTCCATGTGGGGCCAGTCTACTAGTTTCTTTTGCTTATTGCATATAATTTTGTGCTAGCCATATTATAAAGCTGGCCATTTTCAACAAAGGCCATGTGTATTCAATTTTAACTTTTTCTCTAGACTGTTTAAGACTTTTAGAATTGTGATGTATGTATTTAACGATTTCTCGATTTATGTGTGTCATTCTTGAGCAGGGTCATGCTAATCTTCTCTGTATCGTTCCAATTTTATCAGATGTCCTTGAAGGGACTGTATGTATTTTTTTTTTTTGGTACAGGAGATAGGCCAAGCTTATCGGTTTAGTTGCACACGGCCCGCGTGTAAGCTACGCCAAGAGAGTCATGGTGGAGCCACTGTCGAACTCCATCCGGCGGATCCTGTAAGACGTGATACCCCATCAATCCGTCCGCTGCGAAGGAAGCCAAATGGTCGGCTGCAAAATTCGTCTCACGGAAAATATGTTTCACTTTGACAATCCAAGGTCGGCCGAGTAATTCTTGTATGCCCAAAATTAGACTTGTGTTTACTCCCGGGTCAACATCAAGGCATCTAGTAAATCTCACTGCACTTTCATTATCCACTTCCACTTCAACTTGCCGAAAGCCTAAGTCCCAAGCCAAAGCGAGGCCCTTATATAAGCCCCATAACTCCGCCGCTATTATCGAACAATCCCCGAGTTTGACTGTATGTATTTAACGAGACTTTTAAAGACTTTCAATAAGTCTCTGAAAAAAGTCTCTTATTTTCAGGGTTATTTTTTGAGCAACACAATTTTCTTTGTGTGACCTGGATTAATCGTGTCATGTGAATAAAATATATTTTAGTGCTATCAAATTCATCGTACTACTTAAGCAAAAAGTATATTTATTTTATGGAATGTTATATTTGTATTGATAATGTATTTAAAAACATAATTTTTTTTTTTTTTTTCTTCATGAAATTGTTCATATTGAAACAAAGAAGTGTATGTTAGGCTAACTCGATACATAGACTAACGTTTAAGTCATGCGCCTACGAAAATATTGTATTTGACACATTGTAATGTTATTATATACTGTTTCATATTCAAGTTCAAAAAGTTATTTGTTTATCTTTTTGGTATCAGATTTTTATATGATATATTAAATTAATTATCACTTGACGAGCTTTAGTTTGACATCTATATTATAT